GTGGAAAAGGAAAAGAAACAGCTTTTTATTAACCAAATCTGAATAAACAACAAATGGTGCAATCAAAACCTTTCAGAAGAAACAAAGCAAAGTCCCAATTCCCCAGGTGGAGGGGGGAAACCCACGCAACCTGGGGAGTGGGGAGAGAAGGCAGGACTGTTTTGGCAGTCCAACAGCTGCTCGCAGCCACCTGTGCTCGCAGTCAGCACTGAAAAGAAAAAAAACATCCTTTCTCCCACAGGTCGTCTGAAGGCAGAATACCTCGCTCTGAGATGGCTTGGTCTCTTTCTTGTAGTTGTTCTCCACGAGGTGTCCCGTGGGGAAAAAAACTTCCTCTCAGGCAAAGAAAAAGCAGGCAGCCAAAACCGGACTCCCCGCTCTGTCTGGTGCACACCAAAACCAAAGAAACCCCCCAAACGACAGACTGCCGGCCGTGCCTGTGGCAACCGTGCTTTCCCGGGAGACCTCCCCCTCTCCCCGCTCCCGCGCTGCCCAGTGCCTGCAGCTCTGCTCTGCCCCCACCCCATCCCTAACTCCCCCCATCTCGAAAGAAACAGATGGGGAAAGGGGAGGACAGCGTACCCTAGGGAAAAAAACTCCCACATTACTACAGCCCAGCTAGGGATACAGGGAAATTCACTCAGAGTTTTGAGACAGGTTGTAGGTCAACAAGAGTGAACCCTTTGTTAAGCTGGCTTCCCCATTGTATAGGGGGAGCAGAGAAGTTGCTAAAACAGTGGGTGTGGCATACCAAATATGGAAAGGGTAGGAGGGCCTGCCCAAACAAGGAAAGTATAGAAGGGGTTTACAACTCCATAAGGATTGGGGGAGGGTTTATAAGGAAACAGGGATATGAGGGGACAAGCAGTTTAAGGGAATTTTTACAAAAATTATGGGGTACAACATAAGAACTCTATTTTAGCATTAAACTCTAACTCTGTCAATAAAGTCCATTGCCTCTGAGAATATTCTGTAGTCTTAAATGACATCTTCATCTCTTGTCACCTCTTTTAGGGCCTCGATCCATCTTCAATATTGCAATTTCTCCTCTTGCTCATCTCCCACACCTCAACACCCACCCCGCCCCAGCATCTCTGGCTGATCCCTCTGCAGAGCCTTCCCACCCTCCAGGAGATGCACATGCCCAGGGATGGCACTCAGGATCATCTGCTCCACCACCTTCCCTGGTACCGAGGGCAGGCTGCCA